AATTAGTTGTTTTCAATGTGAAGTGGTAGCCAATGAACCAGCCATCAATTTTTTCTTGAGAAAAATGGGCAATTAATGGTTGAATTCAGCAGAGATACTCCTTTCTTTTGTAGATGGATGTTTCAAGTCCGCTCAGTAAAAACAGAGACAAAAAGTTCTGAAGTCCTGATTGATCATATCAGACGAAACTTTTTTTGAGATTGTACTGAATTTCAAGCTTTAGAGCAAGTGGCATAATCATGTGTTTTTCAGTCTTTTTATTATAGTTATTTAATCTAATAAGGAACACAAAAGGACCTGTGAAGGTCTGACCTCTGGAAGGTTATTTATGGTCATTAATCTTGGAGCAATTCAGATTCTCCTTTTGATGTATATATATATATGTATAATTCCTGTCATTTTATCTGACACTAGCAATACAGTCATCTAGATTTAGTCATTCCTACTGAGATTTCTCAGAGTCCTCTTCAGGTGATATAATCTTCATTCTTTTACCACTTCCATAGCTAATAAATACTGTGTTACATCTCTCCAGTGCTGAACTGCAGGGCATTTCAATTTTAACCTCATCTCAAGATGAAGATAGGCTATTTATTCCTACCATTTTCTTCATGAGTATTCAAGCCCCATGATAGAATTTAAGAGGTGAAAGCTCTCAGTAGCTGCCAACTGCTATGGACTATATCAAAGGCTCACTAAATTCCACATATACCGTTCTCTCACCGCTTTCTTCAATCTTTCATGAACTTCCTAGCAGTCAAAAGGAGGGGAAGTAAGACAGTCTTTGAACTTGGATACATTATTTTTCATAGACTCAGACTAATTCAGGGTGGAAGGGACCTCCAGACACCTCTGGCATAATGATCTTCCCAAAGCAGGGGCAGCCTTCAGATTAGAACAGGTTATTTGGGATTTATCCATTCAGGTCTTGAAAACCAACAAGGGTGAAGACTGCATGACTTCTCCTCTTGACTTAGAAACCTTCTTCTACTTCATAACATGAGAAAGAAACTGGTGGAAAAGGTAATTAAAACTGCAGATTCTTGAACCCAAGTCCTTTATAACCATTGTGAGCCTTTCCAGGGAGGACACTCTGACTGGCATGTGCAATGAACATGAGCTGAGCCACGTGCATGGTTTTACTCCATGCAGAGAGAAAATCTTCAAGCACATGGGATGCACACACAGCCTAGATATTATAAAAGATACAAGTAGATTATTAATCATTCTTTCTTACTTTGAAATTATATGCAGCATCTTCTCACTCAACTTTCATCCTTCAGACAGTTTTATTTTCATATTTGTAGCTAAGGCAATTGAAGAAATCTAGAAATGGTTTCACAGGCAATATCAAAAATGGCAATTAAATTGGGGGAGGTTTTAATTTTTTTTTTCTCAATTGTTTGCACCTTTCAGTTTCTTAAGCCAGTTTTTATGTTTGTTATGCCTTGTCCTGTCACTGGGCAAAAGACTTTGAAGGTTCCTCTACTCTCATTTCTATGTGGCTCTGATATTTCTGCAAACAAAAACAGTTGGACTGGTAAAGACTGACAAAGTTGTATTTATGAGATCATTGTCCAGAATAGCTCTGATGGTCATTGCTTGATAAATGGTGAGAGAGAAGCCCAGAGCATGTCTGAATCCAGACTATGGTGAATGTGATCCTTGCAAAAGTCCTTCAGTTTCTCCAAAGAACTGGATCAAAGCACTTGGATCATTACATGAGTGTTTCAATTAATTCCCTTAGCTAGGGATATGTGTAACAGGAAAACCCTGAAGTTAAGGTGCTGCATTTCACACCCTGCTGTTTAAACATCTTGCTAATGGGAATTTTTTTCAGAAAATGTGTAATCAAACCAGAATTTCACTTACACAGTATGTTTGAATTTAAACTCCTTAACTAAAGAGGATTTATCTTTTAAATTCACTAAAACAGTGGTTTAGTGAATTTAATTAGAGTATTTATCTAAAGGAACTAAATACAACAGACTCCAGAAGCCCTCAGTTCTGAACACATCCAGTAACTTGTAACTCACCTGGGCCTGCCAAGTCATTCCCTGGACCCCACTGAAGGTTCTGTGCCCTGCTCCTGGCTGGCAGTGGTCAGGGCAAGGGCAGAGCAGTGCCCGAGTTCCTCTGCAGCCTTTAGAGCTCTCTCTCAAGAAGCTGCCCCTGGAGAGCAGAGCTTTTAGTGCTCGCTGCAGGCTGGGGCCAATCCCACAGCAGAGAGCTGCTGGAAGGCACAGTGTGAGCACGGTGACCCTGTGCTTGTCCTTCTCACCTGCCCTGTGAATCCGGCACCTCGGCATCCCCAGGCGTGTCACCCCAGAGCAGCAGTGTCACACTGAATAAACTTGTTTATCTTCTGGCTTAAAATAGCCCACGACTTTCACTTGGTGTGAGAGCAGTTTAAAATATCCTGTTTGAGGTCTGAGGCAGGGCAGTGGGTCCACCAGGCTGCCTCAGGGACCAAGGGATTGCGCTGCGGTGTGCAAGGCCATCACGCTGTGGTGCCTGTCCCCAGCTACATCCTGCCCCAGAGCAAAAAGAGCGAGGGATTGTGCTGTGGTGTGCAAGGCCATACACCCTGTGGTGCCTGTCCCCAGCTACATCCTGCCCCAGAGCAAAAAGAGCAAAGCCAACAGTGGGAACATCCCTTAGGTGGGAAAGGCTTTATGGATTGTGCACATCTGTATCAAGTATCAGCCACTGCCTGATGGAAGAGTAAGCGCATCTCGGGTTTCTGTGGTTGGGATGACCCCCAAGGTGTTAGAAAGTCTCTTTTTTTCCCAGCCCCGTGACAGGAGAAGTCGAGACTTGTTGGTTTTGCTTTTCAAGGTTGTTTATTTTCTCTTACTTATTACATTCTTTCTCTGATCTGCTGAGATCTGTCCTGCAGGTCATGTTGTGGCATGGTGCCTGCCCTTGGGGCAGTGTTAACTTTTTATACTAAGAACTACGTGTACTTTATTTACAATAATTTTCCAATACCTATCACCTATATTAAACAGTCTACCTCTACTCTAAACCAATCAAAAAGTGTCACCATCCCAGCAGAAGATGGGAGGACAAGAAGAAGGAGAAGGACAGGACACGCCCAGATTCCTCCGTCTTGCCTCTTGAACCCCCTTTCTAAACCCCAAAATTCTACTTTTTCACCCTGTGACAAATTAACTATCATTCTACTCAAAACATTATTTCCAAATGTGCAGAGAATGATCCAAACTAATTTCTTATTCATACTGTGTTTCCTCAGCTTCCACTACACAAAGTATAAAAATAATTTTAGAATACTCAAAATTTTAAAAATATACTAAATTCGTTTCATATGAATCTCAGCAAGGGCTAGAAAGCATGGAATCCAGAATGATAAGTGAAGGTTTCCTTCTGTCACTACACATGTGAAACTTAGGTGATGACTGGGTTCATATCATGCAAGCAATAAATATAATTGTTTTGCTGTCTTATTCCTGTATAATATTTACTTTAGAAGTCCCTCTCTACTTTAAATTTGGAAAAAAAATTATTCTGGTGTAACACATTTTCCTTTTGCAACACTTCATTTTTTGATTATTCCATTTATGGGCACGTTGTGAAAAAACGTATCTAGGAAATGTTTAATTTGGAATAATCGAGCCACCTCTAATCTAAAGGAGATCACAGAGGCGGGAGTGTTTGCACTTCATTTGCAGACATTCAGGAGCTTATTTTGCCAGTTTATGGTTCCTTGTCTTCTGAGGTAAGAGAATTCAGCCCAAGGGCCAAAACTGCTGCTCCAACTGCTCAACTGTTGCTCTGCCACTCTGGCAATGCCTCACTGGGAACAAGGAGATGGAAACCTGCACGAAGTGCAAGGTGCCAGTGACCGGGCAGTGTCACACAGCACACAGGGCAGTGTCACACAGCACACGGGGCAGTGTCACACAGCACAGGCAGTGTCACACAGCACACACACGGCAGTGTCACACAGCACACACAGGGCAGTGTCACACAGCACACACGGGGCAGTGTCACACAGCACACACGGCAGTGTCACACAGCACACACACGGCAGTGTCACACAGCACACAGGGCAGTGTCACACAGCACACACGGCAGTGTCACACAGCACACACAGGACAGTGTCACACAGCACAGCCCCATCAGGCTCTCCCAGCCCCAGGTGAGCCCAGCCAAGTCCTGGTCCGGCCGGCAAAGCAAGACATGAATTTTCCCTTAACATCTCCATACCAATGGCAGAAATTCTAGACCAAGAAAAAGCATGGGAATGCCTGACAGTGTTGGGGAAAAGTTGCTTCAGTCCTTCCACACAGCAGCATGAGTTTTGGTCAACAGAAAATAATCCTGAAAGTGCCGCTCTCTAGGGCAGTATCGTTCTCTTGTGCCAAGAAGGACAGAGTTGAGCTGATGCTTCAGCCTGTCATCATCTCCACCTTCCCTTATCCCTGCTCCTTTCCCCAGCATGGTACTTGGTCACAGACAGCCAAGTGGGGATCTGGGAGTGACAGCAGAGCTGCTGGACATACTCAATTAGCACAAGACAGATCACAGGACTCTGCCGTCTGTGAGTGACCATGCACGGCACATTAGCACGTCTGGCAGACAGGGTAAACCACCTATGCTTCCAATTAAATTATTTCTGTCAAATGTGGACTCCCTGAAGCAATCAGGCACCTTCTAGATGCAAATCTGCCTTCTCATTTTACTGCTGCTATAAAGAATAAAGCACACAATCTTCAAAACCAGACCCATGTCAATGCTAACCATATGAAAACAAAACTACAATAAATGGAAACCCAGAGAGCCTCTTTAGTATGCATGTTTTCTCAGGGCAGCAAAAATATGTATATAAAAATAATTTGCCTTTATATACTATATGGTTTTCATTGGGTTTGTAATGATTTAAGTGACTTAGTCTTCATACCCAAACAGGGAAAACTTTTAAATTGCAGATTTCCTTTGGGTATAAAATGTAATGTTTTTCTTTCCTTATTTTCCAGGGACATCAAACCTGACAACATACTACTGGATGAACATGGTGAGTACTGCTTTCCCTCAGAATCTCTGATTCCTAAGATCTCAGTGGCATGCTCATGATATGCTTTGTAAGTCAACCTCCAGTGTTGAATTCCTACCTAAATCTGGGCTTTCTCAGAAAGCTCCCTCAGACCACCTCGTGGATTTTGTAGTTTCCTCTCCTACTGCCAAAGAAATGTGTAGATCAGAAATTTTCAAGGTCTGAATACAAAGGAATTTAATATGAATTGAGATCAGCAGGGACACTTGGTAAAAAGAAGTTAGCATTTTATTAACAGGATTCTATGAATCACCATAACCCCTTTTTAGGTGCTTACCAACAGAACAGTACCAAGCACTTTATTTTCTCTTTTAGGACTTCTGAAGGGCTAAGAAATTCCACATAGCAAATTATTTCTCATGTAGATATTTAAAATAAACTTTCTAAAATCTAGATAGGGATATTGGAAATTTGACTGCAAAGTTTGTCTCCATACATGTAGCTCTGGCTTAAAAGCATAAAAAGGAGTAGACAACAAATAAACAGCTTTGAACTTTTACTACTAATGTCATGTTCTTAAAGATAAAAGACATGGTATGAAAGAAAAGCAGCTGATTTCTTTAAACTTAAATTTTAAACATATACTCTCTCCAAGAAGTATTTCGTTAAAATGTCATGTATCTTCTTGCAACTGTTTACAGGGAAAACATAAGAAATGTAGGTAAAGAGGGCATTAACCTTGTATCAGTTAGAACAGAAATACATAGAGGAAAAAGCTTGTTAGAAAGAGGAGATGTGCTTGCTACTGTGGGAAAGTCTTGTGCTTTTTTTACTTCCAAAATTGATTAAAACCAGAAAATCTCTGAGAAACTATAATATTGAAATTATGCCAATGATGTAATTGTGTTTCAAAATTCATTGTAGAGCTGCTGGGTATACAAGTAAAAGTTGATTAAAGAGGTAACATTCTGCATAGATGATGTTTGTTTCTGGGAACACGAAAGCTAATAAAGCAAAGTAATACTGGAGTTTTAAACTTCAGCAATTTAATGCTTCAGACCCATAAGTGCTAATGTTCCCAAGACTCTAGTAGTAGCAAACAAGCATGAAACAGAAATATCTTGCCCTTAAGTCCTGGTGAATTAAAGATGGCAAGAGCAACGCAAAATGAGTATGAGTGTGTTAAATCTCTGATTGACAGCCTTGGAAGCACAGTCACCTTTATCTCTCCCTGCCCCTCATCAAGGTCAATTAGTGCACAAAACCAGCCCCTTGTGGGCTCTCTTGTGAGAGCTTTCCTATGGGGACTTGGGCACCACAAAGAAGAACCTACCCCAGAGTGAGCACTACCATGCAAAATGAAGGGGATTTTTTCTGATTATAAACTATTCAGCAACAAAGTTATCTGCAGGCAGATTGGGAATTTTGGGATGGATGGCCTCTCTTCTGCAAAGCAGCAGAGTACTGCTCCCTCATAGCGCACCTGCAGACAGCAGACCTCTCCAGACAAGCGCACAAATCTTGGTCAGCAGAAGTCACCAATTCATGGGTTCAAACAGGTTCAAAGACCTGTCACATGGGTGGGGGAAGTAGCTCCCCGAAGCCTGTAAAGGGTCTGTGCACTTCAACTCACTAAATGTGGTGATATCAGTAGGACATGTGCCTGTCCCGTGCTAATTGCCTCAGGTTTACCTTACAAAAGTGAAGCTCTTTTGCAAGAAGAAAGATATTCTTGAAGTCCTTAACAGCTCTCATTAAGCTGCAACATTGTAACATCCTTTTAACAAAATCATCAGATTTCACTCAATGGAAAAATATGCTGAATATATGCACCACAAATATATTTGGCTGCAGAGTAAGCATAACAAATTCACCTAACATGAGCCTAACCAGGTGTACAGGAAGGAACTTTATTTTAGCCTGTGGCCTCTAAGATGGCACAACAGTTTCCTATATGCTTGACTTTACCCCTAGGTCTTTCTTACAGTTCATTAAACAAATTATGCTTACACAAAGTATCACGTAATTGGATATGCACATTTCTGACTGAGACTTTGTCTCATTTCCTGGCTCATGGTTTTCACAGCTTAACAGCTTCCAGTGACCATTTCTGAGAGCTTTTCTGATGCTTCCTTTTTCATCATTAACATCTTCTGTTAGGATCTTTACCTTAAATACAGATTATGTGAAGATTCACTACCTAGCTGTTAATTTTGAAGATCTGAGTTGCTAATTTCACTGAATGATTGTTATTTCTAATCTTGAAACTGTCTCTTGATGGCTCTCCATACTGAAATCACAGTTCTAGTATTTCACTCTTAGATTTAACTATTTACATGTTATTGGGTTTGGGGGGTTTCTTAGATAGATTTTTGCATCTGATTGTGATAATTTTACTCAGTAAAATAATTTAACTTATGAGTGAACAAAATTAATTGAAGCTGGAATTACTTAATTATATATTATTATATTCATTTGTGAAAGTTTTCCTTAAAACTCTATCTCCTTGAATACATTTTAGCTCTTATTTGGAAACTCTAGGCAAAATTGAAAGATGCAGCCAATGAGCAATCTTGGCATTAAAACCAAATATGGGAAGAAAAAACCTACTCAAAAATAACTGGAATCTCAATATTAACTTCTGAATACCAGAACTGCTAATATTATTGCTGTATACTGATGTCTGTGAGACAATTTGCAGGGACTCCACCTTGTTTAACCCTCCAATTTTGTGATTATTAAGACAAAAGGTTCCAGCATACTGAATTTACCTGAAGCTGTCTAGATTTTGAAAGTGTATCTGAAAATTTTACATGCCTACGTGGCCATTCAATAGCCTAACTTTTTGAAGAGCAGAGCTTTGCTGGCCCCATGTACAGCCATACAATTTCTACCCATCTCCCTAATGGTAAATGTCAGACTGCCAAGTCATGCCCAGTTCGCGTGGGTACAAGCTTAGGCTCTCACACATAGTACAGATGAACCCAGAGAGGCTTTTTAAATCTTCATAGGTTTGATATTCTGACAGCATATCAGATTTGACTGTACTTCAAAATGTTACTGTTCTGAGATTTACAATCAGCTCTGGTGCTGCTGAGTTGATGGCATTAACCCCAGTATAACATTTCTTCTCTCTGACATCACATTTACCCCTTGGGTTTCAGACGCTGAGAAGTTCAATGAGGTTTGAAGTCATGTACATTTTCCTCTGCTGAATGTTAGTCAGCTAGCCCCAGCAAACTTTCAGGAGTTCTAACTGTCATTATGATTTCCTCAAAAATTAAATCCAAACACAGATCACTTACTGATTACCTCATGTACTGCAATTTCAGGCCATGTTGAAAAGCGAGACATCGAAGTCACATCACATAAAACTTTCCAAAGTCACACAGTGTTCTGTGGGTAGTTAGAGCCTTAACTGGAAGCTGACTGAAGGAATGTAGTTTTGAAACAACTTCCACTGAGATGCTTTCCTCTGCAAATGTATGTGTTGGTGTATGTGAAATCTGCAGTCTGAGATGGTTTGAAATGCCACTCTGCAGAGAGTCAAAGGAATGTGGTCATTTGCATTTTCTTCCCTTCTCTCTACCATCATGTTATTATGTATGGGGTCATGCAGCTCCAAGGATTAAGAAATTAGCTCTTTCCCTGGACTAACTTGAATTTAGTTAGGACTGCTGAATCTGTTGTGCACTGCTCTGCTTCACTGTTCATAAGAGCAAAATCCAAGTGACACTGACATTCTGTTTATTATAACAAGGTACAGACTCAGTTTGGACATTTAATTGTTCACAATCATACCCAGAAAGGGAGATCAACCACAAGGTGTGAAGCTCAGATGGGAAAAAATTCCCACAAACAGAAATTTTGCAAGCAGTAAGAAGCAGGTGGGATCCCAGCATATTCTCTGCAGCAATAGCAACCTTCCCTTTTCCTTTGTGCAAGAGTTGCAGTAAAAACTAGTCTTAGAGGCTGATTAGAAAGACTCTTATAGAGAGCTGGGGTCTAACTTTCTCTTGAAATATTTACAGCAGGAATAAAAAAGTTAAAAAAAAACCCCAAAAAAACAAACAAGAAAAAACCCAACCAAAAACAAACAAAAAAAACCCAAAAAAACAAAAAAAAACCCCAAAAAGACCCCCCCAAGCCCTTAGGGTTACAAGAGTTGAAATCATCCAGTAGTGTGCACAGGCAGGCAGAGTTCCACCTCAACACCTTCCAGCCCTCCTTCACTGACCACAGGCACACAGGGTTCACTCCTGCTCTGCCTCTGTCCCACACAAAACCCCTCTCCATGCCCTCAGTTCCCACCAGGAGCCTCCCCTGCCCACAGAACACCTTCCTTTCATTGGCTCATACTTTTTCTCTGCCATGTGTAGAGGGCTTCCTGGTCTGGGCATCTTAGGAAAAAATTGTCAATAAAATGCAGGCAGGTTTTTTGAAAAAAAAAAAAAACAAAAACCAAAAACAGGTAAACCATTTAATTGAAAACTTCTCCTGTATCTCTCATTTGGAGAAACAGCTTAAAGTTTAGCAGTGGAAAGTACCTTCCTCCTTTCTCCCTTCAAAATCAGCTCAGATCTGGCCAAATTAGGGTCCTCCGAGAATTTCAGTTCACCCATGCACAGCTGCACAATTAGAGGCTGGCTGATACATTTCCTGAGGACTTTGAGCAGGATCTAGGTTAGATTTTGGAGCAGCATGACATTTTGTTGAGACTGCTCTTCCTCCATCAGGCACCACGGCAAAATCCATCAGTCATTTGTTACACTCTTTTCATCTTTGGCAGCAAACATGATTAAAAACCTCCCCTCACTTAACAACTGCATCATGCCCAAAGCATGATCCATTCTGTGGATTGAATGAGACTGAGACCTTGATAAAAAAAAAAAAAACTCCACACAAATTTGTCACTCAGAATTCTGGCTCAACATGTGATATATTAATTCTGATCTGAGTGCAGAGCTAAGATGGGGAAGGGAGGCCCTACCCCTGTCCTTCATGGCACTGCCAGATGTAATCACAGGGAGATAGCATCTGCATCACTCCACAACACTAGTTCTTGAGCAAAGATGCAAAACCTAACAGAAGACTTGTCAAATTAAAGCTTTACATATTTTCAAGCTGGATTTCTAATCTGTCGAGGACTCTCCGTGTGTGGAGACACGAGGCTTGACTCCATTTCAGAAGGCTGATTTATTATGTTAAATATTATATTAAAATGCTACATTAAAACTATACTAAAAGAACAGAGAGAACAGAGAGATCAGAAGGCTACAACAAGAACAGAATAGAATAACAAAATCCTGTGACTGCTCACAGCCTTGGCACAGGTGGCTGGGATTGGTCATCAATGGAAAACAATCCACATGGACCAATCACAGATGCACCTGTTGCATTCCACAGCAGCAGATAGTAATTGTTTACCTTTCTCTCCTGAGGCTCCTCAGCTTCTCAGGAGGGGAAAAATCCCAGCAAAGGATTTTTCATAATATCATAGCTACACTATTCCAGTTACCTGCCTATAACAAACCAGGATTAACAACTATTACTTCACAGTGGTGGAGCAACTGAACTTATCATAAACTATCCCAGGAAAAGAGTAAAAGAAGGTTTGGGCCATTCAGCCTCATTAGTGCAGTTTAAATCCTGTCTGGCTGGTCAGGCAGCACATTCTCAGGCTGACTTCTGCCACTTATCGTTCGTCTTGTCACCTGCTGTCAACTGAGTGATGATTTGGGATCTGCTCCTGTTATATACACATCTTCTGCTACTATGAATCTAATGTAATACTTGTTGTGTGATAAAAATAGCATTTTTCTTCTCCCCTCCCCCTTTGCCCTGAGAAGACTCAGAAAAATTCAGGCTGAAGGTAACCTGTAGTGGACGCAATTGTAGAGAGCAGTGTCACAAGTACCTGAGATGTGAGGGGTGACTGCAGCTGGAGATGAGGCAAATTTCACACCCAGCTCCACATTCTGCTTCTGCATGTTACTTCTGAGAAGACAGAGAGAATAATAGGATAATGGAATGATTCTGGCTGGAAAGGACCTTCAAGATCACCTTGTTCCAACCCTCCTGCTTATTGTGTTTGCAGGGTGCCCCAATGAAGGAAGGAATGATGACTCTGACTCCATGTTCTCAGAAGACTAATTTATTATTTCAGGATACTATATTATATTAAAGAATACTAAACTATACTATACTAAAGAATACAGAACAGATACTTACAGAATGCTAAAAAGATAATAATAAAAACTTGTGACTCTTTCCAGAGTCCCAACACATTTAATATTAAGTTTCTATTAATGTTACATATCTTTCCAATTGTGTCTCTTTAAATTATCACTTAAATGTTAGATAAAGTGAGGAATATTTGTATGATGTGCTATTTTAACTTCTGTTTTTACTTTGTGTAATTGCAGGACACGTTCATATCACTGACTTTAATGTAGCAACCATAGTGAAAGGCTCAGAAAAAGCTTCTTCTATGGCTGGCACAAAACCCTACATGGGTAAGTTTTCAATACATTTAAAAATGTAATAAAAGTCCCATACTAAGGGTGACTAATGGTATAGCAAAAGGATTTTAAGTTGTAAAAGCATAAAAAAAAGCATTTTTTAACAGTATATATGTGTGTCAGTCGTGAAAATCTTCAGAGATGGAGGATGTTTTTTGGATGTTCTTTTGTACAGGAACTTGATCTCTACACTCTGCTAGTCAGGTTCTGTTTGGTTTTGTGAATTCAAATTCAGGAGAAATTCAGCTGTGTTACTTTCTGTAAATCCCTGCATCTTGAGACAAGAATATATTATATATTTGCACTACAGGAATATATGGTATATCTGCTTAGGTGAAATGAGCAACAGAGGCATGGGATACAGAGCATTAGGAGGTCAAGGGAAAAACATGAGACAGGGAAAAAAAGATTTTTACCTTTCCACACTAATGGATCTGGTCTAGTTCACCTCAGCTCATGTAGTTGTTCCACTCCTGAAGCCTCCTCCCCACTCATCAGATCTCCACCATATCCATCAACCTCACAACAAGAAACAGTACCAAAAATTCTCTCCTTTCCTTTACGAAGGCTATTACACCATCCACCAACTTAATTTCTCTTCATTGCACCTTCCTCACCTCTTGGAAATGCAAAGATGCTGCAAAAGCCCCAGTTGCGGTCTCTACCACTCAGAAAGAGTTAGAAGAATCATCCTTGCATTTATTTGGAGCTGTAAGAAGACAGCAAAGCTTTTAGAGCTGTAAAAATCCTCTGTTTCAGATGAAAAGTGATTGGTAAGGATTCTCTGTCACACAGTTTGGATACCAAAGCTTCAACAAACCAAAATTGTGTGACAGATATGGCCAGACATTCATTGGTACTGCTTTCCTCTTTCAGTTTATACCTTTTATTTTGTGAGAAATTCCACTTCAGTGAAATCTACAAGGACTTTTCAGTTACAGTGACTGCTGATTGTAAGGCTGTATCAAGGCTTTCCATGTGGCTTCTCCTGAGAAGTTTGGACTATGAGACAAATAGAAAAACAACAGAACTGGGGAGGTTGGCTCCATGGTTGATGGCCAGCTTCTATTGCAGGAATTCAAACCACGATTTAACCTTGGTGTAACAAGACAAAGTAACCTTCAATCATGGTACCTGCTGAGTACCAGAACCAAGGAAACTCAGCAGTTTCTGTAAGACATGCCTTATGCTATGCTGGTTTTCTCAATGATGACAGTATGAGATGTGATGAAAGCTGTTTCTCCCTCTTGAAGTTTTATAAAGTCTTACTTTCATGTGGAGCCTGTTATGTTTAATCAGATATGAGGGGACTCTCCAGCCTTTCCCCTAGCAGAGGCACTTAGAGGATTTCTCACTTCTTGCTATGGCAAATGTGAGGAAATAAACAGAAAAACTTTATCTCTAAAGCCTCCATTCCTCTTTGAAATCTGATTGAAATAGGCTGAGAAATTGCTAGGGAGTGATTTGTTCACATGCAGCATGACCAAATAAAAATGGTTTCCAGGAAAAAACTGAGTGAATTGATATTGTGTTGTAAAAATGCCCTAGCTGTTCTGATTAAGATGCCTATCTTGTAATGCTAAGCATGGTGTGAATCAGCTCCTGCAGCCTTTGCTTAATCTCACTTCACATTAGCCTTTTAGCCCCAAACTCTTTGCTTAATCCCACTTCACATTAGCCCCAAATATTTCAGCCTGAAGCATTCCCTGCCTATTTCCCTACTTATTAAAAGTTTATGCAGAATGCACTGTACCTGAGCCTGAATGTTTCTCTAGAAACCCTATCAGTTTCCATGTCCTCTCCTAACCAGCCAATTAATTCAGACAAGTGAAATACCCATTGGACATAGGAACAAAGACAGGGACAGCAGTACATGTGCAAAGAACAAGGCCAACAGCCTGGCAAGGCAGGACACTTCCAGCTGCTTCTGCAGCTCTTCCTCTCAAAGCCAGTGACCTGAAATGCTGAAATGAGATCAACTTCTTAGAGTTTGGGGATCTCCAAATTTGTGTTGTGCTTTCAGGTGGCTGGGACTGTGGAAGGCAATGTGTGCCCTCTGCTGATTTGGGAAACCTGTGTGCCACCTGTGCCTGATTTTACCTTCACAAATTCACTGCTCAAACCTTTTACAATACCTGTGGCTGAGGGTGTTATCAAGGCTTTGTTGTAGGAATAGCTCTTTGTAAACTCATATGATTTCAGGCTGTCATTCTGCCCTGGCAAGCAATGCAGAATGTCCTTTGAGACCAGGCTGGCTTTTGGCAGGCACAGCTGTGCCAGCAAATGACCAGAAGCCCTCTGGAGGATCCCTCCATTGTGCCTGGGGATGTGGAGCAGGAGAGCCAGGGCAGGGCAGGACACGGTCCCTGGCACATGGACTGCTCTGTTCAGCTGTGACTCCTCCTGCCTGCAGAAGGATTTTACTTTGGCCTCCTGTGAGAAAGGGAAGTGTGTGTTTGCCTGGCTGGAAGCACTTCTGTAAGACCTTGATACTTTCAACACGGTTTCATCTTTACGATGAAACATATGGGAGGGTTAAAAAAAAGGACATTTCTTAAATTTCTCTCTTGTGAACAAGGCTGCAAGAAATCTCTGTATGTCTCAAATATGCTCTGTGCTGGGCACCCATCTGCAGTGCTGGCCCTCTACCCTGCAACAGAGTGCTCAGCTACAAACCCAAAAGTTAAACAGTAAAACACATCTAGAAAGCATGACAGGTGTCACCTTTCTTTTATTCCTCACTTTGCCAAATTTATGTGTGTTTGAGTCCTGTAGCATATGCTTTTTCCTTACTGAAATATTTTGGAATGATCAATTTCTATAGATCTGTGTATTATTTCTGGCTGTTGCAAAACCTTTCAGTTCACAATTTATACTTTGGGGGGTTTGAGGTTTGTTGTTGTTTGGGGTTTTTTAAATGTGAGTTTTTTTTGTGTGGTTTTGTTGCTATTGTTGCTTATTTTTGTTTTGGTTTGTATGTCTCAAATATGCTCTGTGCTGGGCACCCATCTGCAGTGCTGGCCCTCTACTCTGCAACAGAGTGCTCAGCTACAAACCCAAAAGTTAAACAGTAAAACACATCTAGAAAGCATGACAGGTGTCACCTTTCTTTTATTCCTCACTTTGCCAAATTTATGTGTGTTTGAGTCCTGTAGCATATGCTTTTTCCTTACTGAAATATTTTGGAATGATCAATTTCTATAGATCTGTGTATTATTTCTGGCTGTTGCAAAACCTTTCAGTTCACAATTTATACTTTGGGGGGTTTAAGGTTTGTTGTTGTTTGGGGATTTTTTTATGTGAGTTTTTTTTTTTTTTTGTGTGGTTTTGTTGCTATTGTTGCTTATTTTTGTTTTGGTTTTTGGGAGCTTTTGAGTTTAGTGGTAGGAGGGTTTGGGGGGGACTAGGTAGAGCTTTTGATGTTTTTTCAGCCAGGGACTAAAGATATTCAAATGATGCACTGTGACTTTACCTGAAATCAAACCAATAAAATATATTTTACTATACAAATACTCCTGACAAAAATCCAAAGTCAATAAAATCAGTCATAAATTATGTGAAAGGTTTCAGCTACCTCATTCCTATCTCACAGGCTTGTTATCTCAGGTTTTCACAGCTCCTTTCATAGGCTGCTGTCATGGTGAAGAATGACTGTGTGCCTGAGATTACCAGAGTATTGTGGATTTACACTGGTCCACTGAACTTCTAAAATGTATGAGTCATCCATATTTATTAATTAATACTCTGTGGGTGTACAATTGAACTCAGAGGAAAGCCAGTGGATATCCTGGTATAAACCTTTCACATACAAAAATTATCCTATAGAGCTAAATTTGTTTCTCAGATGCTTAAAATATAGCAGGAAAAATTCTGAGTTGAGTTTTCAAAAGTCATCATTCTTGGGTCTTTCTTGCACTCATATTAAACTGTGCTCTGAAATTAAATACTGTTTTGCAGCTCATTGCATTTTGAATGCAGTTAAGGCAGTGTTTAGGTTTTAAAAAATCCTGCCTTTATCCTACAGGGGGTTTGACTGCCTGTCTGCAGAGTTTCTCTGGTCATGTCATCACTTGACCTTTTGATCCCAGGGAAATCTCATGATGTCATCATGACAAGGGAGGCTTCTCTTTGTTCTGACAAGAAAGAACTCAGAGTGGCTGTGTGAGACTCCAAGGTGCTGAAATAAATATTCCCTACACTGATGGGATTTTCAGCTGGTGCTAGGAGCTACATGGCTGAGGGGACTGAACACTGAGCTGTGAGCAGGCATTCAGGTTTTGGTTCCACTCTGACACTAATGAGTAGGAACACAAGCAGCTGAGGAACCTCAGGAGCTCAGGAAAGAAGTTATTACCTCCAGCTGCTCTTCACCTCTTTGTGCTCTCTGACCTGCTACCATCCTTTAAGATCTTCCAGCAAAACTACTAATACAATCATTTCTGTGACTATTTCAGTTAACAAATACCCCACTCTGAGTTCAAGAGGTAGTTTTGGTTTGGGCTTTTTTTTTTTTTTTAATTTGTTTGTTTGTTTATTTATTGCCTGCCTAAAAGGGCCTGGTGTGCTGTGGAGCTCTGCAGGCAGATCCAAGGGGAGCAGAGGTGGAGCAGAGGTGACAAACAGGTCCCAGCAGGGCCCTTCTGCCCCCTGGATAACTCCTGGGTTTTGGTCAGGCCAACCCCCCAGGTTTTTGCATGCACAAACTGGTGCAAAGATATTTTCTAAGCTGCTGGGAGTTTGTGATGCAGGAGCATGGAACAATCCTTCTGGTGTGTCAGGTACAGTCTGTCCTGAAAATCCATTACACAGACCCGCTAATTTCAGTACTGGGCAGAACAGCTGCTGTCTATACACTGGAACAATCTTCCAAACACCAAATGGATATTTTTGGACAAGATCCCTTCTAAAAATTGCTAGAAAAACTGGCCCTGCAGCCACTGTGAGCTTTTGTATGGAGTAACAAAGGTGCTTGTGTACAATTTCATGTTCAGTAA